ACTCTCAATGTCCAGATTACAAGTTGTTTTTGGGCAGCCTACATTTGTCATCACATTGCTTCACTAACTTTCGTTTTGTAACATAACCAAAAAAAAAAAAAGAATAACAACTATATATCATGTTTCAATTTTCCTAGCAACTTCCCGCAGGAGAGAAATTTAGCAAGTTTTCCGAAGAGAAAGAATTCGAATAATAAATGACTTAGCTAAGATTTAAAAAGAACGGAAAATTGAAAATCAGAAGAAATGCAACGAAAGAAAGCAACATGAAAAAGTAATAATCAATTTGCTTTAAATATGTTAGGCAAAAATGCGTTCAATTTATCGAACTTGCTTCACGATGCCCAAAAGGTAATTCCAATATTTCAGACCTAGCGAATTTTTCATCTTTGGAATATTAAGTAATCTGTGCAATAACACATATATATATATATATATATATATATATATATATATATATATATATATATATATATATAAACACAAACATATGGATAGCTTGAAGACATAAATTTTGGGGTCCTTTACATGATTTGTATTTTATACCTCAGAGATTTCGATCAAGTAAAATGTATGTCAGGACTGTTATATTTTTGCGTTTTCTCTTCATTTAATTGAGAAAGGATATGTCTATACCTGAAAATGTCGTAATAGTAAGAGACTATCATTTGTTTAAATTAAAGTAAAATAAAATTTCCTTGAAAAGAAGCAATAGAAATAGAACGTGAGATATCAACCAAAACTGAACGAATACAAAAAAAGATACATTTTAAATAACCCAGCAAGAGGTTAGTATTAAGACTGGACATTTTAAATTGTTTTAAATTTTAGCCAGTTCTGCTTGTAGATGATGCTATTATGTATGTGTGTGTGCGTGTGTGTGCGCGTGTGTGTATGCGTGTGTATAAATAGATATCTTTCATTAAATACGGCTGACAAGTAATATTTAATTAAGTCTATCAAGGTAATTGAGTTGTGACAAGAAACACAGACTTTTACTGGGCAATAAAATTGATACACTATATTGTACAAGACTGTCCCTTGCCAGAAATCAATTATCTCTATCATATATACTACCACCTCTTTGAGTAGGCGCTTCACGTGCCACTTATCAGATCAAAGTGCTATATAATACATGTATCCACCCATATTAGAAATTATTGGAATACTCAAAACACTTCAAGCGACTAGCATATCCCGATATACAGGTTGTTTTAAAAATACTTGTACAAACTTTGGGGCAGGATTGTCACATTAAAACGAGGGCAAATGTCCACATAAACATCTGTCCGCCAATCCTTTGTTTTGAAGTTATTAATTTTAAAAAATGTTACCTTATATGCAGTTAATTGCACATTCAATTATACGATACAAAAATAATTTTACAAACTTTGGAGGGGGGTCCAGACACCAAAAGAAGGAAAATGTCCACATAAAAATATGTCCAAAAGGCTATCGTTGTACATCAACCCACTAACTCATATGAAATGTTCAAAATGTACTCAGCTTGCTTCTACACACGCATGCTTACGTCGAATTATGGACTAGCGGATCATTTCAAATACTCTGACACGGTTTTGAATGGTTTCGCAGGCCTTATGGACTATTGATTAGGGGTCTCGGCATTATTAATATTTGCTGCATAAATCAGTTGTTTAAGGTTACGCCTCAGGTAAAAATCGAAAGGTCTGCAGTCGGAGAAACGTGCACGCAATAGGACCGCAATAGGTCCATCTTTCTTGGTATATGTCAGAACATCGAGAAAAATATGACTAAAATGTATTGGGTCCCATCATGCATGAACCACATACGTCATGTATTAGCATAGGTATATCCTCTAGCATGTCTGGATGTATGTTCGTAATAAAGACCCTGTAGACAGCTCTTTTAATAGGTGGTGGAATAACATATGGACGTAGCAAACAGTCACCTACACTTCCTGCCCACGCATTAATCATAAACTGATGCTGGTTTCTAGACGGTTTTCTTCCATGGAGATTTCGAATCCTCCCAACAAATTTTGGTTCTGTAAATTTGTTATCCCATCTCTTTCAAATATTTCCCCATCAATAGACAATTCTGAGGAAACAAAAATCTGATCGGCAGTTTGTGCAATAAACCATTAGCAAATGTTTTACCCCACGTGTTGAATGAAATAAGGATACATGCGCTTCTCTTGAAGTACCCTCTATGTGCTATTATGTGATGTACCACTAGGGCCAGTTGACGCCTGCTAATAACTGGTTCGTCTCCGACAGCTTATTTTCCACGTGGTCAGGCGTAAAAGCGAATCTCGGTCTTCTTTGCTCCGTAGTTTGTGGTGCCATGGATCATGACACAGCAACGCGACGATAAACAGCAAGAAAGAAAACATTTGACCTCAGATTCTAGAATGGGTGCAGGGCCATTGAAATTCGGCTTTTTTTATCCCTGCTACCAGGTTTGAATTTGAGCCACAAATGACATATTCCACTTTGTCAACACTTTTGCTTTAATCGTCGCATCTTACCAAAATAAGCACTTCCTTTATTTGCGTCTTTACTGAAAAAAACCCCGCATACGTGCTGGGTGAAAATGGTTCCGCCATCAGGAGTCCATTTTCCAATTCTTTAAACCTTTTCCCCTAGCCCAGGCCGCGTCCCAGACCTGACGAGGAGATTTTGCGCTAAAACAGCAAGGCTTCCTCCCAATCCGTTTCAAAGCTAATGCCGGCAAACGGTTAGCGGCTTTTCGTTGTCGCACAAACCAAACGAGTAAACGCTTCATTGCAGCTTCTTGCATTCTCATTGCCGGCATCACGTGCGTTAGAGCCAAGCTGAATGAGCAGTGGGCAGCTTGACCCCGTTTACGGCCAAGCCTTGCGTTTGCCAAATCATGAGCGCGTGCGTGAATGCGCGCTAGCATCTTCTATTTTACATGAGCTCATTCAATGGTCTAAGCCATGGCTATTTTCCAGGCTACACCAATTAATGACAAGTCACGCTCCCTTTAAAAACCTTCAGCGCGGCTGCATCCGCAATCACGTCTTGATTTGATCGCAATTAACGAATCTGTCCTTGGATTAATTGAGAGCTTACTGCTACCGCAAGTGACCTATTTGCTTAAAAGTTTGCACTACCCATTTTATCTCCACGTGCTGCATCTACTGCTCAGCCCAGTCCATCTTAGCGTTCCATACCTATTTCTACCTTTTCGTAGTTCAGTTTTGCTATTAGGCAGTTAATTGCTGTCGCGAGTTACTTATTTACTCAATCGTTTGCCAACCTATTTTACCTCCACGTTACAGTATTCACTGTAAGTTGAAGTGTACTGTCTTTACTACGCGGCCCAGTACATCTCATTACTTCACTGCCTATTTGCTTAAAAGTTTGCATTACCCATTTTATCTCCGGGTGCTGCCTTTACTGCGCAGCCCAGTCCATCTTAGCGTTCCATACCTATTTCTACCTTTTCCTACTTCAGTTTTGCTATTAGACAATTAACTGCTGTCGCAAGTTACTTCTCTTCTGCCTTTACTACGCGGCCCAGTACACCTCAGTGTTTCACTACTTTTTAACCTTCAACGCTTCAACCTTTTGGTTGCGTAACCTCTTTCTACAGCGACGTTTTCGTGTTGCCAGAAAACACGGCCCATAGCTAGGAGAAGCTTTTTTCCATACCGCTCCACTGCATTTCTAGTTTTCGTATACAACGATGTTGCCCCGCTTCAGCTTCGGCATCAACTGCTATTCGCATTCTTACACAGCATTTCTACAACCCTTCAAGTGGCTCCTACACGACGAACATCCTCACATCAGCGACTGAAGACCCCTAATACCCTTAACGTTACACATGCAGAACAGGAGACTGAAGAGGAGCACATAATAACTCAGATTACAGATGATCATGTAGCGTCTACTTCAACCTCTGCTTTGCACTCTTCTGCGTTCCGTGGCGATGACCAACCCGGCAGCTCTGCAAAGGCTGCAAAAACACCCAGGCGAGGCAACCTTAGCAGGCGTTCTAAAACGCCTCACCGGCTAAGGGGAAACGGAAGCAGGATTACTTTGAGTGCACATCCTTGGGGGAGAAGTGGCTGGTGTCTACTTCAACATCTGCTTTGCACTCTTCTGAGTGCCGTTGCGATGACAGACCCGGCAGCTTTGCTAAACGTGCCAAAATACCATGGCGAGGAAACCTTAGAACGCGTTCTAAAAGAGCCTCTGTGGCAAAGAGAAAGCTGTATGGGGAAACCGAGGTAGAGGCCTCTTTGAGGCTTTCCGGTCACTCTCAACGGAGGCAGTATGTTTTGTCACATGAAACGCTTGGTGAACGTAACTACCGTTTGTACTGCAAATCAGTTTACACATATTCGTTGAAAAGTAAGAGGAAACTACCTAAACGCAAGTAAGACAACAAAAAAGCGGCTTCATCGCAAGCGATTTTTGCGGTCTAGACAGAGCCCGCATCGAAAAGCTACTCGCAATGCAGCCGACGCCGCTGCGACTTCCATTTGACGCTCCCAGAAATCCATGGCTGTGAAAACCTCACGCCATCCAGCCGAGGCCGCTGCATCTTCTTCTGCAAGGGCGTCGGAAATTTCCGCGCAAAAGCGCACAAGGCGGCAACGCGATGCAATTTCAACTTCCTCTGCTAGAGCTGTAGAAGAACCTACTGAAAGACTTAAAAGGTTGCAGACTGTTAACCAGCGCTGCCATGCACAGCGAGGGCTCTGTAGCCCACCAAAACAGTTTTGGTTTAAGCTGGCGTTCAACTATGAGACAGTTTTTATGTTTTCCGTTCGCAAAGACCTCCAAATAGGATTCATGTCAGTTGTCTGTGGGCATTGCAATGCCAAAAAATGGCCTGGAGAGTCTGCAGGTTTGTGTTGTTCAGATGGTAAGGTAAAGTTGCCACCTTTTCAAGCGCTATCTGTTCCGTTGAAAGCTCTGTTGGCGGGTTCCAGCCCAGACTCCAAACATTTCCTCGCAAAAATTTGACAGTACAATTGTGCCTTCCAGATGACCTTTTTTGGTGGTAATGCCTTCCGCGAAGTCGATTGGAATCCCACCTTCAAGGTTCAAGGTCAGCTTTACCATCGGATTGGGTCTCTTTTGCCTGAAACTGCCACTGATTCGGCCTTTCTACAAATATACTTCATAGCCGACTACAATCAACAGGTAGATGCTCGCATGGGCATTATTCCCGAGAACGATACAGGCCAGGACAATCATCCTCGCAGGGATATCATAATGACTCCCCAACAAATGCTCCACGACACAAACAGCTATGTCCGCAGTTTTAAGTACGCTCCCAAAAGTAACACTTCTTCTGATTACATTATTGCAATTGATGCTGACAAACAACCTCAGGGAGAGCACGAACGTCGTCACAACGTTCCCGCAAGTAACAAAGTTTCCGTCATTGTCAGCGGTGATCAGCACAACAGACGTGACATTGTTATCAAATCGCGCGGCAGTGGGCTCCGAAGAATCAGTGAAACGCACCGGTCCTACGATGCACTACAATACCGACTTCTCTTCCCTTACAGAGAAAATGGGTGCCTCTTTGGCATTCTGCAAAATGGATCCACCTTAAAAACAGTGTCTTGCAGGTCTTTCTACGCCTACCTATTGATGGTACATGAGGGTGCATCCAATCATCTTCACCGAAGCCGGCAACTTTTCCATCAATTCATAGTAGACATGGCTGGTAAGATGGAATCCGAATTACCTTAGACTGAATCAGACCAAGTTGCGCTGCGACTCTTACATTCACCCCCGTGATGCTTTACGAAATTACGCTGATCCACGCAATATAAGCAAGATATGCATACTACCTGCAACGTTCGCAGGCAGTCCAAGATACATGCATGCCAGGACGCAAGACGCGATGTCATACGTTCGTAAGTACGGCCGATCAGACCTATTCATAACTTTCACGTGTAACCCAAAATTGCTAAAGAACTTATGCCAGGGCAATCGGCCTACGACCGCCCAGATCTCATTGCGCGCGTTCACCATCTGAGGTTGGGAAAGCTAATGGATGTGATTACAAAGGGCCAGGTTTTGGGGGCTGTTTGCTGTCACATGCACACTATCACGCACATATACTAATTAAGCTGTGCGACAAGATTGAGGCCACAGAAATTTCTGATCCGTCGACTGACCCTGGATTGTACGAAATAGTGACAACCAACATGATACATGGTCCCTGCGGATCGAATTACAATTACATCAACTGTCACAACAGCGACGGAAAATGCACCCGGCAGTACCCACGAGATTTCGTGAGCGAAACCATTACAGGGAGCGATGGTTATCCATTGTACCGGCGAAGGAGTCCCGTGGTAAACGGCCACCAAGTGGATAACAGATGGGTAGTTCCATACTGTTCCCTGCTAACAAAAGCATTCAATGCGCACATCAATGTCGAATATTGCCATTTAGTTCGCTCCATCAAGTATGTGTGCAAGTACATCAACAAAAGAGCTGATGCTGCAATGTTTGGTATTAGTCAGGAAGGTTCCGTAGACGAAATCCAGGACTTCCTTGCAGGGTGCGTCATTAGCTGCACAGAGGGCCCTTGGCACATATTCAGCTTCCCTATCAACGAACGCTTCCCAGCAATCGTCCAGTTTTCTGTGCACCTAGAAAACAACGAACTTCGTTATTTTTCTGCGGATACAGCAATGAAAGTGGCTGCGCGCACCAAAGACACAACGCTTACAGCTTTCTTCAAACTTTGTTGACAGGCGAAGTGGCGCTAGCAGTAGCAACTTCAGGCATTTCTGCCACATTACTACCGGATGGCCGAACAGTGCACTCAATGTTTAAACTTCCGATTGACCTGATTAAGACAGTAACAGCTGTATGCAGTAGAGGCAAGCCATCAGGAACACATCATCGCGCCTGCCGACTCGGGAGCAGGCTACGTAAATTTGGCCGTATGAGAAGCACTGCCCCTCTAAGTGTATGCAATATAGGCAAGCAATCAGGACACATCATAGCGCCTGCCGACTCGGGAGCAGGCTACGTAAATTTGGCCGTATGAGCAAAGGAACACATCATCACCCCTGCTCCTCTAAGTGTATGCAGTATGCAGTATGGGCAAGCAATCAGGAACACATCATCACCCCTGCCGACTCGGGAGCAGGCTACGTAAATTTGGCCGTATGAGAAGCGCTGCTCCTCTAAGTGTTGCAGTATGCAGTATGGGCAAGCAATCAGGAACACATCATCACCCCTGCCGACTCGGGAGCAGGCTACGTAAAATTTGGCCGTATGAGAAGCACTGCTCCCTCTAAGTGTATGCAATATAGGCAAGCAATCAGGAACACATCATCAGCGCCTGCCGCAGGCTACTGGCCGGGCTGCTCCTCTAAGGCTATGGGCAAGCAATCAGGAACACATCATCACCTCCCCTGACTCGGGAGCAGGCTATTTGGCCGTAGGAGGCTGTAAATTGGCCGTATGAAGCTGCTCCTCTAAGTGTATGCAGTATGGGCAAGCAATCAGGAACACATCATCACCCCTGCCGACTCGGGAGCAGGCTACGTAAATTTGGCCGTATGAGAAGCACTGCTCCTCTAAGTGTATGCAGTATGCAGTATGGGCAAGCAATCAGGAACACATCATCACCCCTGCCGACTCAGGAGCAGGCTACGTAATTTGGCCGTATGGCCCCTCTAAGTGTATGCAAGCAATCAAGAACACATCATAGCGCCTGCTCCTCTAAGTGTATGCAGTATGCAGTATGGGCAAGCAATCAGGAACACATCATCACCCCTGCCGACTCGGGAGCAGGCTACGTAAATTTGGCCGTATGAGAAGCACTGCCCCTCTAAGTGTATGCAATATAGGCAAGCAATCAGGAACACATCATAGCGCCTGCCGACTCGGGAGCAGGCTACGTAAATTTGGCCGTATGAGAAGCACTGCTCCTCTAAGTGTATGCAGTATGCAGTATGGGCAAGCAATCAGGAACACATCATCACCCCTGCCGACTCGGGAGCAGGCTACGTAAATTTGGCCGTATGAGAAGCGCTGCTCCTCTAAGTGTATGCAGTATGGGCAAGCAATCAGGAACACATCATCACCCCTGCCGACTCGGGAGCAGGCTACGTAATTTGGCCGTATGAGAAGCGCTGCTCCCCTATGTGTGCAGTATGCAGTATGGGCAAGCAATCAGGGAACACATCATCACCCCTGCCGACTCAGGGAGCAGGCTACGTAAATTTGGCCGTATGAGAAGCACTGCTCCTCTGTATGTGTATGCAGTATGGGCAAGCAATCAGGAACACATCATCACCCCTGCCGACTCGGGAGCAGGCTACGTAAATTTGGCCGTATGAGAAGCACTGCTCCTCTAAGTGTATGTATGCAGTATGGGCAAGCAATCAGGAACACATCATCACCCCTGCCGACTCGGGGAGCAGGCTACGTAAATTTGGCCGTATGAGAAGCACTGCTCCTCTAAGTGTATGCAGTATGGGCAAGCAATCAGGAACACATCATCACCCCTGCCGACTCGGGAGCAGGCTACGTAAATCATGAGAAGCACTGCTCCTCTAAGTGTATGCAGTATGCAGTATGGGCAAGCAATCAGGAACACATCATCACCCCTGCCGACTCGGGAGCAGGCTACGTAAATTTGGCCGTATGAAGCACTGCCCCTCTAAGTGTATGCAGTATAGTATGGGCAAGCAATCAGGAACACATCATCACCCCTGCCGACTCGGGAGCAGGCTACGTAAATTTGGCTGTATGAGAAGCCCTGCTCCTCTAAGTGTATGCAGTATGCAGTATGGGCAAGCAATCAGGAACACATCATCACCCCCCTGCCGACTCGGGAGCAGGCTACGTAAATTTGCCCGTATGAGAAGCACTGCTCCTCTAAGTGTATGCAGTATGCAGTATGGGCAAGCAATCAGGAACACATCATCACCCCTGCCGACTCGGGAGCAGGCTACGTAAATTTGGCCGTATGAGAAGCGCTGCTCCTCTAAGTGTATGCAGTATGGGCAAGCAATCAGGAACACATCATCACCCCTGCCGACTCGGGAGCAGGCTACGTAAATTTGGCCGTATGAGAAGCACTGCTCCTCTAAGTGTATGCAGTATGCAGTATGGGCAAGCAATCAGGAACACATCATCACCCCTGCCGACTCGGGGAGCAGGCTACGTAAACCGTATGGGCGCTGCTCCTCTAAGTGTAGTATGCAGTATGGGCAAGCAATCAGGAACACATCATCACCCCTGCCGACTCAGGGAGCAGGCTACGTAAATTTGCCGTATGAAGCGCTGCTCCCTCTAAGTGTATGCGGTATGGGCAAGCAATCAGGAACACATCATCACCCCTGCCGACTCGGGAGCAGGCTACGTAAATTTGGCCGTATGAGAAGCACTGCTCCTCTAAGTGTATGCAATGCATATGGGCAAGCAATCAGGAACACATCATAGCCCCTGCCGACTCGGGAGCAGGCTACGTAATTTGGCCGTATGAGAAGCGCTGCTCCTCTAAGTGTATGCAGTATGGGCAAGCAATCAGGAACACATCATCACCCTGCCGACTCAGGGAGAGCAGGCTACGTAAATTTTGGCCGTATGAAGCACTGAACACATCATGCTGCTCTATTGTATGTATGCAGTATGGGCAAGCAATCAGGAACACATCATCACCCCTGCCGACTCGGGAGCAGGCTACGTAAATTTGGCCGTATGAGAAGAACTGCTCCTCTAAGTATGTATGCAGTATGGGCAAGCAATCAGGAACACATCATCACCCCTGCCGACTCGGGGAGCAGGCTACGTAAATTTGGCCGTATGAGCAAGGAACACATCATGCCCCTCTAAGTGTAGTATGCAGTATGGGCAAGCAATCAGGAACACATCATCACCCCTGCCGACTCAGGGAGCAGGCTACGTAAATTTGGCCGTATGAGAAGCACTGCTCCTCTAAGTGTATGCAGTATGGTATGGGCAAGCAATCAGGAACACATCATCACCCCTGCCGACTCGGGGAGCAGGCTACGTAAATTTGGCGTATGAAGCATCTGCTCCTCTAAGTGTATACTGCAGTATGCAGTATGGGCAAGCAATCAGGAACACATCATCACCCCTGCCGACTCGGGGAGCAGGCTACGTAAATTTGGCCGTATGAGAAGCACTGCTCCTCTAAGTGTATGCAGTATGTATGGGCAAGCAATCAGGAACACATCATCACCCCTGCCGACTCGGGAGCAGGCTACGTAAATTTGGCCGTATGAGAAGCGCTGCCCTCTAAGTGTATGCAGTATGGGCAAGCAATCAGGAACACATCATAGCGCCTGCCGACTCGGGAGCAGGCTACGTAAATTTGGCCGTATGAGAAGCACTGCTCCCTCTAAGTGTATGCAGTATGCAGTATGGGCAAGCAATCAGGAACACATCATCACCCCTGCCGACTCGGGAGCAGGCTACGTAATTTGGCCGTATGAGAAGCGCTGCTCCTCTAAGTGTATGCAGTATGGGCAAGCAATCAGGAACACATCATCACCCCTGCCGACTCGGGAGCAGGCTACGTAAATTGGCCGTATGAGAAGCGCTGCTCCTCTAAGTGTATGCAGTATGGGCAAGCAATCAGGAACACATCATCACCCCCTGCCGACTCGGGAGCAGGCTACGTAAATTGGCCGTATGAGAAGCACTGCTCCTCTAAGTGTATGCAGTATGCAGTATGGGCAAGCAATCAGGAACAC